AAGTATCATATAAAACACTTTTTCCTGACATTTGATGTTTGATATGATCTTTTTTAACACGTTTTCACTATCAAAGATTGAAAAACCTATGTGAGAAAAAACTAAATGTTTTGCCCATTTTAGACAAATAACAAAAGTGTTTGGGACATTTCATATGCTGCAAAACATTTACATAAAAAAATTAATGGTTCATTGATTTGGTCCAACACCATTTCTAATTCTGATAATCGAAAGTCATAAAAGGTTAAAAAAAAAAAAGGCGTATGTAAATGATAACTTCAAAATGCAGTCTATGTGAGCAGTTTTAAAAGCATATCTCTCCATCTGTACTGCAATCATATCAGTTACCATCGTCTTCTTATTTGTACCTTAAATAATTTCTTTGTGAACCATGCGAGTAATTGAGCTGGATGTAGGCAAGCGTTAGTGTTTGCTGTCCACTACTATCTGCTTTATCACGCAAGCAGGAGCTCGCAGCAAAGACAGCGACATGGTTAACCGTCTGTGACCTTCCTGAGCCCACAGGCTTCAGCAGTGTAGATCTCAGCCTGTTGTTTTTATACATAACATCAGTCTTCATTTCACTGCAAAATTATTTGTTTCTAAATGCTCTTCTGATTGTACACTTTCAGCAAATAGTGAAGTGAATTTAGGGAGCCAATAACTGGGATTTCATCTCTCTGTGTTAATAATGCACATTTCAAAGTATTGCATGTGACACAAGTGAAGAAAACTCAGAATTTTAAATTTAAAGAGCCCTTATTTTACACACAAAAAACAATATGCTTGCTTGAGGTGGTTTTGGACTTGAATGATAAAGAGTTCATGTGAATAGCGGGTGATGGAAACATAATTGATGATTTTTTATTTTATTTTAAAGGAGTGGTCCAGAATGTAATTTTAAGGCTTGGTTGTGTTAATAAGATGCAAAGCAATGTGTACTCATGTTTCACTTGAATGAAATCATGTTATTTTTTCATAAATCTCACTTTGATTATATACAGCTACTCAGCTTACTTGAAAACGACTGATTTATTTCCTAGTTTCTCTGAAAGGCCCGCCCTCAAGTGACTCTGATTGGTCATCGTCATAATGTGCTGCGATTCGTGGACACGTTTTGTGTAAACTGTCAGTTAACATGGGATGCGGCTCCTTTAAGAGAGTGTGTGTGTGCCATTGTGTGTGTGTGTGTGTGTGTGTGTGTGTGTGTGTGTGTGTGTGTGTGTTTATACTATGAACTATGTACACACGAGAGGCGTCATTAGCCCCTTTCACACAGTGATACCGGTAAATATCTGGAAAATTTCCGGAACGACTTTACCGGTACATTCAAAAAAGCACTGTTCACACAGGCGAGGACATTACAGAATTTTTCCGGAAAAGAGCATTCACACATCCATCGCAAAATGCCGGTAAATTCTGACATCATTAACCAAAAAAGACCTCTAAACAGCTGCGCTTGTGTTTGTAAACATTTGACTACATTACAAACTCTTTGGATGGATCAGTATTGAGTACAACTCCAATGAAAACATACAGAGGAACACTTTCGCATGTCGAGATGTTCATGATATGTGTGTGTGCTGGCGCTATGGGCGCTCACGGGCACATGCAAAGCTTGAAGGTAAACAAACAACGGATTATTATAAACATTTTATCGATAATTATTTACACAGTTAGCATTAAGAACGATCATAGAAACATTATCAGACTAACATCTAGCAGCTAAATGTGTCTGGAAAAATATTCAAAGGCTTTTATTCTCATAAACCGCGCATGTGAATGCGTCTGACTGTTCTGATTGGCTAAAGCAGGTGTCCCACGTCAGCACGTTCTAGATGTGAACGCGCTCTTTCCAGCAATCTTCCTTCTGCATTCACACAGCGCAGCATTCCGGCAAATTACCAGTTATGTTACATCCTCTCTTTCCGGAAAATAGCCAGAACGAATTTACCGGTATTTTCAAAAAGGGCCTGTTCACACATACAACCTTTCCGGAAAATTGCCGGTAATTTTCCGGAAAGGTCTGTATGTGTGAAAGGGGCTATTGTCTGAGATGTAAAATGCATGGAAAAGCTGCCTATAGAGAAACACTGCCATCGCACACAGAAAGATGCTGCACGTGCTGGTCAAGAGTGTGTGTATGTGTGTGTGTGTGTGTGTGTGTGTGTGTGTGTGTGTGTGTGTGTGTGTGTGTGTGTGTGTGTGTGTGTGTGTGTGTGTGTGTGTGTGAATACAGCAGTTTGATAAATATGAATTTGGAGCTAAATCGTTAGCGGTGGCGAACAGCATTTCCCGTTGTTTACATCTTTGCTACAATATACCATTAACACTAGACACTGTACATGTCATGATCAATTTTAACAAATAAAAACACTTACAGGTCGTGGCTCAGAGTTCACAGCGACTCCTTGTTGCCCCAGCTTTAAGGAAATTTTAGCATAATCCAGCACTAAACTGGGAGAGATTCTGGAGGCTGTTTTGTCAAATCATGCTTGCTATGTATTTTATAATTCTTTGGAACATAATTAATATTGAACTGAAAGCACTTCTGTGTTTGTGTCGTGTCATTTGGAAGCCCAAATACAGAAACCAGAGAAGCTTTGCGGAAATAGCAGGATGGCATTTCTTCCTCTGCTGTAATGCTACAGCGCCTCTGGCCACGGCCCTTAGCTGCGCAGTGTTTGTGCGCGGTAAATGAACCTTTGTGATCTCAGTATTTAATATCTCTAAGTATTTTTGTAGTCCCCAAAATTCGTTTATTGTAGGCTTTGCTAAGCTAACTCTGTAAAAATCAAGGTCTCCCTTTGCATTGAACTTTGAGCATTTTACATTTAGAGATGCTGTTTATGTTCACACCAAGTGGCAACGTCCCACTCTCTCTCGGGAGGCCAATACGGAAGTAACTGAAACTGCAATTCATCGAAAATCCGCTAGTCCTGGCTCCATAATAGAGCAAATTTCATTTGAGCCCACTGTTAGAATGGCCAACTTTACAGCAGAAAAAAAGGTGTTTACAGCCTGGTACAAAGAAAGATTTTGGTTCATATAGTTAATATTACCCTTCATGACAACTGTGAGGGGGTGAATTTTTTATAACTCATCAATTTCCTTTATATTAGGTTATATTAAGTTTGCATAATTAAGGGCGTGGCCACTTGATTGAAAGCTAGGTCTTGCTGTCGCCTTCACTTCACCTCAGCTGACTCCGGCAGATTAGCCACTGATTTCAGCCTATTCATCACATTTTTGTTTTGTTTTATGTGGCTTTACACAGTCAGTTGCCGTTTGGGATTATTTCCTACAATTATCTGATGATATGGGATGCTGTGTGCACTTAATTGTGCTCACACACCATTCACGTGGCCTCCATTTCCCATGTGAGTAAAGTTATATACTTATATACCATCTCTATAAATGTATTTGTTTCATTTAAGATCATTTATCATTTATAACATTCTTTAGAGCTGTAATGCACTGCAAAATCTGACAGATTGATTAGATGTGGACTGTCGAACAGTCATCTGAAGCGTTGTCATACAGTGTTATGCTAGATTTCATCAATAGTCTTACATTTACTAACACAGAATATATCTTAAGTGTTTGGAAGTAATTTGTGTTTTCCTCCTGTAGGAAAACATCATAAGAACAATACTTAGTGACTCAATGTAATACAGCAGTGTTTTTAAAAGACTAAACATTTTATTGATATAGTGTACAGTCAAGCACATGTGGTCAGAAAACAAACGATTCACAGGTGATAAAGTATTAAGCGTTTTCCCAAAGTAAAGTGTGTCTAAGCCAGGTCCAAGCAAAATGCCAGCAGGTGTCTGTAGCTCCGCTCACTCTCCGCCTCTATGCCCTTTTTTGGTATCCCGCCATGAGTGCGATGATGCGCGAACAAAATGATGACGGTTGGCTGCGCCCATTTTTTTGTGGCTTCTTTTGCGCTCTTCAGAAAACTATAGGTGACGTCACAGATACTACGTCCATATATTTTATAGTCTATGGTTCACATAGCTACATTACACATCAACTAAACTTTAAAATATGATATTGTGGCGGACCACCCATTTAATAAACATAGCATCATCAAAGTTAAAGTGGCTTTTAATAATATTGTTATGATGCCTGTTTTTGCGATTGTATCATTATTATGTATTTCTTTTGACCTTAATCAGCTCAAAAGAAGTAAATTTTCTACATTTTAGCCTTTATTTGTAGGACCATGATATATATTTTCATCAGCATTCATTCATTATTTTTTTTTTCGACTTAATCCCTTTAATAATCTGGGGTCACCACAGTGGAATGAACCACCAACTTATCCAGCATAAGCAGCACATATCCTTCCAGCTGCAACCCATCACTGGAAAACATCCACACACACTCATTCACACAGATAAACTACAGAAAATTTAGATTACCCAATCATTTTTATCAACATACAAATTATAATTTGTACATTTGAACAAGTGGTCATGCACTTCAAAACATTAATTTTTATGCAAAGATTCTTATTTTGAATTGCAGTAGATTGTCTTGACCATGTCTATATGCCTAAATGCATTGAGTTGCTGCTATGTGATTGGCTGATTAGAAATTTGCGTTAGCGAGCAGTTGGACAGGTGTACCTAATAAAGTGACCGGTGGGAGTATAATAATATTGTCCAGCTCCATTTAAAGTTACATTGTATAATTCTTCCGGATTTTTTTCCAGTAGTTTACATTTTTTCTAACTTTATTTGCATAATTTGACCAAAGGCATGCTGTTCGGTAATTGTGTTGTCAAATAACTTCACTACATTAAAGCTAGCCCACATTTGTCTATATATATATATATACATATATATAACAGATTTCATTCATAAACATAAACAAGACTCACTTTTTTTAAGAGTTAGATTATTTCAGTTTAAGCCTCACTCTGCAGTGATCATTTGATTCATAGGGTCAGGAATTGCTGTGTGACTCAGTGTTGGTTCTGTGTGTGTTTTTAGGTTGTGTGGAGTCAGCTGAAGTCGTCCTATGAGGTGAGCATATCCCATTGGTCGTCGGCTCCCGTCAGTGCCATCAGCAGCAGGACTAAGGGATGTCACAAGTAGTTCTCCTTCTGACTCTACTCAGTTTCAACTCCTGCATCCAGGTCAGACATCATCTCTGTTTACTTCATTACTCTCTCTGAAGCTGACCAGATGACCATGAAAATTACTCTCTTCATTTGCGCAATTACACACGTTAACTATGTTTGCTACATACCTATGTATGTGTGTGTGTGTGTGTACATTCATTTGTTTTTTTCAAACTGACAGTGGAGGGAATTAAAACATGACCATTTGTGCCTGAACACAGGCAGATATAAACAACAAAATAAATTACAAAAATATCATTCAGACTATAATAAGAACAACTTAAACAAATAACTATTCAGACGATGTTCTGTAGGACTACAGGATCTGCCTTAACTCATATCTTCCTCCTGCTCCACATCGACCTGAACTAGGTGCTTGCCTGTGCGTAATCAAACACATCAAGGGAGACTGATGCAGAGGCAATTGTCATTAAATTCTGTCTTTGCCTCGGAAAGTCGACTTCTTGTGACAGTTTTAATTTTGTTCTGGAGGCTGAAGCCGCATTCTGCTGCCACACTGGAGACCGAAATTACTATCGCCACTTCAGCCAGTGTTTTGTAGTCAGGAAACATTTCTTCTTAGGAAGTGATCAGAAGTTTGCAGGATTCTCTGAATGTGGGATTTTCCTATTCTGCATGCACTCGTTTCACTGGGAAAAAATTCTGCTGCATGCGCTTCTTCTACACCAGGGATGCGGCTGCACCCCTCTGCATTTTGTAGTGTTCACAAACACGTTCTAAATTAATAAGGGCAATCACCATCAGCTGGAAAGGAGTGGGAATTACAGTTACCTACACATTAAAATGGATAAATATATGAGCAATATCACCTGAGCTGCAGTGAGATATGGCTGTATATCAGCACTGGTGGGGTCATATCTCACTCCTACGAGTATGATATTGCGTTTAGACAACAGTTCGACGACACAATCATGTATATAAATAAGAAAATCAAACACGGAGAGTCTGAAACCCTTTTGTATAATGAACTACTTTTCTTCTGCAATTCATTCACATCTGCTGCTGACTTCAAAACAACAGAAGCCGTTGCTAATTCACCAGCGTCACTTTAGCTAGTATTTAAATGATTCTCTATAGCGTAATGTCTAAAGTGATGACAAAACAGCTGATTTTGCTGACATTTTAGGATTATAAGGCTGAATGGGACATGAAATGCTATCTGTATACAGAGATATCTCCCTGCAGTCTATAACAGTCTACGGTATTTCTTTGTTGCCGTCGGTATTGTGACGGGTGCCAGGTGTCCCATCATTTACCCAGAGACTTTAAGGAATGGAAAAAATGAAACATGACAGTGTCACCATCCTGCACTTTGTCTCCATTCCCCTAGAGGTCCCCGTGTTTCCCCTCTGTCTTTTTTCTTCCTCGTGTTTTCTTGTTTACTTAATTTTGATCACCTGTGACTTGTTCCAGCCAGTGTATTTAAGTTGTCACTTTGTCTGTGTTCCTCACTCGGTTTTTGAGTCACCTCTGGTGAACTTGCCTTGCGGTTCCCTTGATCTCCTGAGCTACGTCTAGTAGGAGTGTTTTATTTTCTAGTGATGGTGAAATGAAGCTTTCTGAACCAGTAAAGCGCTCGACTCAATTGTATTGGAAAAAGGTTCGTTACTCGAAGCTTTCTAAATCAGAGATCGATGAGGACCTCTTCTGGTTACAGTGTGGGAAAGCACTGTGTTGCCATAATGTCAAATGTTCACAACTGACCAACTCATTCATGTACTAATACAACAACAGCAATATAAACAAATTACTCAATTACTGTAGTTTTTACTAGTGATGGTGAAATGAAGCTTTCTGAACCAGTGAAGCGCTTGACTCAATTGTATCGGAAAAAGGTTCGTTACTTGAAGCTTTCTAAATCAGAGCTCGATGAGGACCTCTTTTGGTGAAAGTGTGGGAAAGCACTGTGCTGCCATAATGTCAAATGTTCACAACTGACCAACTCATTCATGTAGTAATACAACAACAGCAATATAAACAAATTACTCAATTACTGTATCACAATAATTAACCCCCCCCAAAAAAAGCAGCGCAATCACTACCAGACTGCTGTTGTGTTTGCGATAAGGAGGGATGAGGTTGAACCCAGCTTCTTATTCACAGCTTCTTATTGACTCTATCCAGTCCACCTTAAAAACCGCAATGCTTCCATTTTTCAGCTTCTTGTTCGCACTCAAGAAAACACACAACAGTTTTAATCTTCTAAGCAAGGGCTTATTATGCGGTTCTGGCACCATCTTGTGGATAGACAACGTCAACCGTCTTTAACTAATGGACACCGACGCACTCTCTCAGAAATGCTAAATATTTTAAAATAGGCACTATCCTTATAAATAAACTGCATAGTTACAATCTAAACCACTACATTCTTGACTAAAATAGCTTTACAAGTAGGCTACATTATGTTGCCTAACAGCAGGAATATTTGTCAAACTGCAGAGCTTGTTGCTGCCTGTATGTGGGCGGAGTAAAACACAAAGATGAAGGGTAAAGAGGCCTTTGTGTGATGTTACTGGCAAAATATCGCACAGCTATCAGCCAATCAGATTCAAGAACAAGACAGAACAGTTTTTTTTAAATATTTTTATATATATATATATATATATAATTACTTTTTTATATAAAAAAGTTAATTTCGGTCACATTTTAAAATAAGCTCCCGTTAGTTACTGTATTTACCAACATTAACTAATTATGAAATATACTTGTTCAACATTTAATAATTATAAGACATTTACTAATGCATTATTAAAACATGGCATCGCAGTGGGTTAAAAAAATCACCTCACAGTAAGAAGGTCAACGCTTCAAGTCTTGGACGGGTCAGTTGGCGTTTCTGTCTGGAGTTTGCATGTTCTTCCCGTGTTTGCATGAGTTTCCTTCGGGTCCAAAGACATGTGGTATAGGTGAATTGGGTAAGCTAAATTTGTCCGTTGTGAATGTGTGTATGGATGTTTCCCAGTGATAGGTTGCAGCTGCAAGGGTATCCGCTGCGTAAAAACATATGCTGGATTAGTTGGCGGTTCATTCCTGTGGTAACCCCAGAAAAGAAAATGATTTAATGAATTATTAAAATATAAATTCATGCTTGTTAACATAAGTTAGTGCATTAGTTAGAGTTAATATAAACTAACAACAAACAGCTTTATTTCCATTACCTTATCGTTAGCTAATTTGATTAAACGTTGTAATGAATAAATAATCCATTGTTCATGTTAGTAAATAGCATTAACTAATACAATATTATTGTAAAGTGTTACTTTTAACTCATATTATTGCCAATGTGAGCGTAACATGCTCATTTCATCAGTCAGATTAAAGACAAATTGTTGAGGCAAATGTTGGCCTGTAACTTCATCAAGACATAAAGTATGTCTGGTATGATCATGGCTGTTTAGATTGTATCTGGACATCTGGTCACTCACTACTTTTTCTCAAACAGCAGCTTGAATGCCATACTGCAAAAGAAACACAGTTTAGCATGCTTGCAAACAGAATATGTTTTACAGAGTTTATATATTTTAAAAGAACATAAATGAGCATTTTCAGGCACTTGAGTAAATCCTATTTGGCATTGATTTTTGTATAAATTATATATTATTAAATGCAGTTCGCTGGGCTTAAGAGAGATACATATCACTTTGGCATGTTTCAATAGTTAAATAGTCCACAGTAGTGCCCTTAGGTCATCGCAGATGTACAGTAGGAGTTTGCTTTTCTCCAACAGATTATATCTACATAAAACCATGGTCCTTAGTGATTTATACAATTCAAGTTATTGGGTCTACCAGTGCAGTGAAAAGTCAAACAAACAACTATTAATACTAATGCTATTGCTACTTTCACTATCGCTAATGATAATCTGTTGGGCTTCTGAAATTACATAATTTTATATTCTTGGGTTTGCTGAAATTACAGCTATTTCCAGCCAATACTAAAGAAACCAACCACGAAAAATAGTATTTTCATGTATGCTCAGTTCTAATGTAAGTACGCATTTTACATGTACATCATCTTTCAAGGCTCTCAAGGCAAAAGTTAGTTTTGATTGTGAGACTTATATTCTATGGTAATATTGTAAATGGGACCTCTTATGCAAATATCACTTTTATAAAGGGTACGCTAGATAAAGCATTGGTTTCATACTGATTACTTTATCAAACAATGTTTGTTTTCAACATGCATAGCTGCGTTTAAAAGTAGACACTTCACGCTTTCTAGAGATACATGTCTCATCTGTGTGCGTTTGGTTTCCGTAGAGTTTCAGCGCATTTTACTGACACACTTCTAAAAGCAGTTCAAGGAGAAAGAAAAGAGAGATTGCCTACACTGTTTGTTTTCCTTATTTTGCAAAAGCACACATGTTTGTTGTTGTTTTGAGTGTACACAACAAGCAGTAGACACATAACGGATTTAATTGATGTATTGATCTTATCTGTACGATCAAAACTGAAAGTGTAATTTAAGTTCATTTCAGCAGGTCAAACTGCGTATACATGTTCTTCAACCCCAGAGGGTTAAACACAGTTTTGTGGTAAAATATAGCCAGCCTTTATTAGTAAAAATTAATTAATTCTATTTTTATTGTTTTCACATGACTAAGTCTTTATAAATGTGAAGTTTTAGGATGTAGAAATTGACACTGTATTCAACTTTTTGTATTTCAGTAAATCAGTACTGTTAGTAAATCTGCTGCTATGCTGACACATAAGCATTTGTTGCCCCACCCCCTTTTTTAATTAAGGCTGGGAGCACAATCTCATTTGAATTTAAAGTGACAGTCACTAAAACAGCACAGTTTAGATCAAAGCTTGAAAGGGGGAGTTTTAAAGATACATAGTTATTTTGGGGGTATTTTGAGAGTAAACTTCACATACACACTCAATACAGTTAGTATTTTCAGTTAGTATTAGTTTTTGTAAGTTTATTGGCTAACATGTGAGCCTGCACTCAGGAAATTTTTTATTTTTTTTAACTATATTACGTTTTGTCAGTTAGGGTTAGTTAGTGGCTAAGATGTCATCCTGTGCTCACGAGGAAACGTAACAATTTTACATTTTGTCAGTTTAGTGGCAAACATGTCACCCTGATCTCACTAGGAAACATAACTATTTTACATTTTGTCAGATTAGTGGCTAACATGTCAGCCTGTGCTCACGAGGAAACATAACTATTTTCCGTTTTGTCAGTTTAGTGGCCAACATGTCAGCCTGTGCTCACGAGGAAACATTACTATTTTCCGTTTTGTCAGTTTAGTGGCCAACATGTCAGCCTGAGATCACAAGGCTACGTAACTATTTTACCTTTTGTCAATTTAAGTGGCTAACATGTCAGCCTGATCTAACGAGGAAACATAACTATTTTCTGTTTTGCCAGTTTAGTGGCTAACATGTCAGCCTAATATCACAAGGCTACGTAACTATTTTACGTTTTGTCAATTTAGTGGCTAACATGTCAGCCTGATCTCAAGAGAAAACTTAACTATTTTCCGATTTGTCATGGCTAACATGTGAGCCTGATATCACAAGGCTACGTAACAATTTTACGTTTTGTTATTTTAGTGGCTAGCATGTCAGCCTGATCTCACGAGGAAACTTAACTATTTTCCATTTTGTCAGTTTGATGGTTAAGATGTCAGCCTGATATCACGAGGCAATGTAACGATTTTACATTTTGTCAGTTTAGTGGCTTACATGCCAGCCTGATCTCACAAGGAAACATAACTACTTAACATTTTGTCAGTTTAGTGGCTAACATGTCACCCTGTGCTCACAAGGATACTACTATTTTCCGTTTTGTCAGTTTATTGGCTAAAATGTCAGACTGATATCAAGAGGCAACGTAACTATTCTCCGTTTTATCAGTTTTTGTGGCTATTTCATACGAATTTAAGTTCAGTCATATGAAAATGAATGATTTTAAAAAGGAGGTATGGCACTTCATCCCACCCTTTTAGTAAATCATACTAAACTGTATGCATTAGATCATACAAATTCATATAATCCGCCACTAAATCAAAAAGTTACAAATTGTAAAATGTAAAATAGTTACGTTTCCTCAAGAGATCAAGATGACATGTTAGCCACTAAGCTGACAAAACATGAAAAAGTTACACTCCCTTGTGAGATGAGGCTGACATGTAAGCCACTAAGGGCGTCAAAATTAATTGTTTCTTCGGTACACAGCAATGCAGATGCGGACAATTCGGTATTGGTTCAGTAATAATCATAACCAGTTATTATGTACTGACATTGTTTATCTCATATGCGCTATGTCGACGTAGCTTACTATGGCAAGGGAGGCGAGCGTGAGTATGTACAACGCTGCAACTACTTAAAAACGCAGAAACTATGCACAATTTTACTGTGTATGTGTTTGCTGGATAGTCTTTCACCAAGACTTACAGCAGAAGCCCCTATTTCACTGTGATTGACAGAATGAAAGTAAACTTCATTTCCCTCTCTCACTGTGGCCCATTTGACCTGCTGGCATGACTTTTCCTCTTCTTCCGGCTGTTACAGTGATATTTCTGCATACAGACACGAGTGCATGTCTGCAGAGTTTTCTTCACCGTGTCTATTGCTATTTAAGGAACTAAAATATACTGCACAATAGTCCAGTATAAAGCAGGTCTAAAGTGCCGTGCAGAATGCATTAGTTGTGCGCATAGCTTACATATTGCTTAAAACATGCAGGATAAAAAATAATTAAAAGAATAAAATATTTCAAAAATTATTACATTCTACATAAATATTTTTTAATTTATTCATGACAACTTGCTTTTGTATGATGTTCTTATTAATATTAGTAATATTTATTATATATATATAATAATACTAATTATTATTATTTTTTTTTAACATGCTTAGATTTGACCACCTTTCAGGTTTTGGAACATATAAGGCATAGCATGTGTGTTTGGATATAAATCCATTTGTTCCACTTTGTGGAGTTGTTGGTGTTCCAGTCTAAAAAGTAGGTGTGTTAAGGCGCATTGTTGGTGCATTGCTATTTTGAAGAACTGAAATAGATGGTGCCGTTGACCAACTAAAGCGGGTCTAAAGTCCAGCGCAGAGTGCAGTAGCTGTGCTCCAATGCTGGTTCAAAACTCATTGCTTAATACACACAGGATGTACAACAATACACAAATATATTTACATATGAAAAAATAAAGGATTTAACTGTTACAAAAAGTATTATTTTTTACGTAAATATAAAAACCACTGCCTCTATGCCTTCATCTCAAGGGACTTTTTTTTTAGTTTATTCATGACAACTTGCATTTGTAGAATGTTATTATTATTAGCAGTATTATTTATTTATTATTTATATGTATGCATCATCATATGGGGAATGAGAATAGGATGTGTGTTTGGATATAACCCAGTTTTTGATCAAACTTCATTATTATTGTTCATTTATTTGTTAGAACTCATTCATTCATTCATTCTTTTTCTTGTCGGCTTAGACCTTTTATTAATCTGGGGTCGCCACAGCGAAATGTATCACCAACTTATCCAGCACGTTTTTTTATGCAGCGGATGCCCTTCCAGCCGCAAAACATCTCTGGGGAAACATCCACACACAAACTCATTCACACACTACAGACAATTTAGCCTACCCAATTTACCTGTACTGCATGTCTTTGGACTGTAGGGGAAACCGGAGCACCTGGAGGAAGCCCACGCGAATGCAGGGAGAACATGCAAACTCCACACAGAAATGCCAACTGACCCACCCGAGGCTTGAACCAGCAACCTTCTTGCTGTGAGGCGACAGCACTACCTACTGCGCCACTGCGTCACCCGAAATTAGAACTGAATTTAGAAATAGTTTGGAAATAAATCTTTGTTCTCATCAAATAATAATAATAATAATAACAACAACAATAATAATAATAATAATAATAATAATAATAATAATAATAATAATAATAATAACAATAATAATAATAAAAATAAATTTTATTTATAGGTGCACTCAAGGGCACCTTACAATATGTCACATGCACATTATACAAGACAGAAGAATAATTAACATAATATTAAACCAAAAAATCATTAAAAGCAATCCTGAACAGGAAGGTTTTAACCTGGGATTTTTAAATTGGAAATAGAGTCCGCCTGATAATTATCTAAAAGCAGGGAATTCTTTATAACTTTATAACTTTATAACAGGGAATAACTGTGGTGCTATGCAGCTAAAAGCCCTGCCACCAAATGATTTCATCTTAAAATGTCTGTTCCCTTTACTTCTCTAAAGTAGTGTAAAAGTAAAGTAAAGGGACCGAATGGAGGAGGCTCATTATCTTTGCGCTGCAGATGGTCTGTTTAGCTGTTTGCTTGCTGGTGTAAAGCATTCAGTTTTTCCACTTACAAAGTCCGTCATGTGAATAGCAAATGCGCCATGGTGCGACACAACTTACTGTTAAAGGGAATGTAAGATGACATACTGATTGGTTTAATGCAGGTTATGCTCAAAACACACCCATAACTCATTAAGAGAATAAGCACAACCCTGTTAAAGTGTATTCTTCCATCCATAAAATTGTAAAAGTGTATTCGGACATGCCCTTAATGCTTTTGCGATTGTTAAAATAGAACCCTAAATTTGACATATTATGCTGCTTATTATATGATGAAAAATAAGTAATTGGTCATTTGACATAATATACCTTGTCAGTTTAATATATTTAGGTGAACAAATACTCAGCTTTTGTGTGTGTGCTGCTTCAAATGCAAATGAGCTGCTACTTTCCAGAAGAGGGTGCAGCCTTTACATTTGCTATTAGGACAGAATAACAACATTTCAACAAAAACAACATTTCAGATGTTGTGCAATGTAGTCACTCTGCTGGTTTGGCAAATTCCATCATGCCCAGTTTTGTTATCACATGATCTGTTTAAACAAAATCCCATGATCTTTTTGATAAACATGATGTGCTTTTTTATATCCATTCTAGTTTTTTATGCACATTTTCAAAATGTATTTTATGTGATTTTTCAAAATGTGCATCAAAATATGTGGGTGGAAGCATAGCTACTGTTAACCTTTGCCTGATTGGACTTTACAGGTGTCTTCTGCTGTATCCCTCAAAACTATGATGGAAAGATGGATGATGTACCGAGATGAATGTTTTCGAAATATGAGCAGAGAAGCACCGATGACAGGTGAGCTGCTGAGCCTCTTTCCACAGGGAGCAGTGTGAGTCACAGTGCTGTTAGGAAACACTGAGCAGACCTCAGATTGCAGGTCACAGCATGCAGAGACTCAGAGAAGGTAACATTAATGTCTGCTCTTCAGGTGTGGTGTGCAACAGGACGTTTGACCGGTATGCCTGCTGGCCTGATGCCCTGCCCAACACTACAGTGAGTGTGGCCTGTCCCTGGTATCTGCCCTGGCACAAGGAGGGTAAGGGCACTAGAAGTATTCACATTTATTACGTTAAATTTTACTTCATAATCAACGCTATAGTTACTTTTAAAAATATAAACGATAATTGGGGTTGGAGCTATTTAGCATTCACAGTTTGTATAGTGTGAAAAATGTTTGTTAGAAATCATTAACTTTTAGTGTAACAGTTTACATTTTGTCACAAGGGCAAAAATCAAACATAAGAGCTGTTTTCGTCTGAACAAGTTTGAAATAATATATGATTGAAACTATTTCAGTTTAAATGATTGCCTATAGTAGCAAAGTGCAATAGTTATTGAACAGGAGGTTACTGTAGTTAACATTTTTACTTAAAAAAATCATTTTGAAAATAAAAACTTTATTATTTCGGCCAGTTACCAAAGCAGTATTTATAATATTTAATATATTTCAAATAAACATAAGTAACTATGTAGACATATTAAAAGTTTTTATATATACAGTTGATGTCAGAAAATATTAGCCCCCCTTTGAATTTTCTTTTTTATATATATATGTCCCAAATGATGTTTAACAAAGCAGGGAAGTCTACACAGTATTTATGATAATATTTTTTTCTTCTGTAGAAAGTCTTATTTGTTTTATTTCAGCTAGAATAAAAGCAGTTTTTAATTTTTAAACACCATTTTAAGGTAAAACATATCACCCCCTTGAAGCTATATATTTTTGATTATATCAAACCATCATTATACAATAACTTGCCTAATTACCCTAACCTGCCTATTTAACCTAATTAACAAAATTAAGCCTTTAAATGTCACTTTAAGCTGTATGAAATTTCTTGAAAAATATTTAGTAAATTATTATTTACTGTCATCATGGAAAAGATAAAATAAATCAGTTATTAGAGATTCTGTATTAAAACCATTATGTTAAGAAATGTGTTGAAAAAACAGAAATCGGAGGAAAAAATAGACAGGGGGGCTAATAATTCTGGGGGCTAATAATTCTGACTATATATATATATATATATATATATATATATATATATATATATATATATATAGATAGATAGATAGATAGATAGATAGATAGATAGATAGATAGATAGATAGATAGATAGATAGATAGATAGATAGATAGATAGATAGATAGATAGATAGATAGATAGATAGATATCACAATATTTAAGCTCAAAAAAGCTAAAGCAATGCAAACATCACCAGATTAATAGATTAGCAAACACTACCAGATTAAGATTAAATTGTTTGCTATAAGGAAAAACACTAAACACATGCGGCCATTTTTTTTCTTTCGTTTTGTTTACTGAACTACAGTGAGCCCCTCTCACACTCAACACACTACAATTACTATAGTTTAAATACAGCACTACAACATACAACAGAACTTAGACAGCAATTTCGTCACTAACCAATTTTATAATGATATGATCAGCTTTAGTTTAAAATTACACTATGTTTGTTCTCTTCAAAGGGCTTATTATGTGGTCTCTGTTGACATATTGTGGATGTCATTGCATAGTTGCAATCTAAACAACTACATTCTTGCCTTAAAAAAAGTACATTCTGTTGTCCAACGGCTGCAATATTTTGTCAAACTGAAGTAAGTTTAATAATCTGCTGTCACTCTATGTTGGCGGAGTAATACAGAAGGGTAAGGAGGCTGTAGGAGTTGCTCTTGTCAGCCAATCAGATTGTGTGTGTGAATGTAATATATAAGTGTGTGTGTGTGTGTGTGTGTGTGTGTGTGTGTGTGTGTGTGTGTGTGTGTGTGTGTGTGTGTGTGTGTGTGTGTGTGTGTGTGTGTGTCTTAAAAGGGTTTAAAGCATAAAGTGTGGTACTGGACTTGTACTGCATTTACATGCGGGGATGACATAAAACAAACTAACAAGTGAACAAAAGGGCAAATAATAGGCTTCTTTCTGCAAAATACAATTCATTTTCTGGTGAACTTTCTGCCAGGGCATGTCTTGTGAAGTTTACCTATATTCATGAATAAATACAAATAAATTCATTAATGGGTTGACACATTATTAATGTGGCTACACTTTAAATTTACAATTTAAATTTACAATTTGCTCTATATCACTCCATTTACTATTAATGTGGCTACACTTTAAATTTACAATTTTCTCTATATCACTCCATTTATTATTCTCTTATATGCACACTGTGTAATGTCACTGGCTCTCTTTTTGTGTGTGCTTCAGTCCGGCATGGGCTTGTGCATGTGGAGTGTGATGCAGACGGACAGTACAGCAAGCAGAAGGATGCCAGTGAATGTCTGTCACGTGACAACATAGTAAGTCAGAAACACTGGCACTGTTTAAATGCTGGATGAATTAGCGTGTGATTACAAATCTGTATGTTTTAAAAAATAACAGTGCTCAACTCTTAAGATTTTAAAACTTTTTTTCAAGTCTGGAAGGAGACTTCATCCTTTATCAGGTCAAAAACATGTTTTCTTTGAAACCTACAGAAATTCTGCAAACTCATTTGTGGCAAAGTAGTGTTAAAAAGAGTTTTTTTTTTCATGAAATATATGCAAAGATTGTAGAAAACTATGGACGTAGTGTCTGTGATGTCACTCATAGTATTTGTGAAGAGCATATATACATATCATAGCGGCCACCACCAACTTAGCAGTGTGTTACCGCACTTCACTGCCAGATTAAAAAAGATAATGAATTATAGATAATATTCTCGCACATGTGCTCGGTTGTATGATTTTTTAAAACCATGAGTGCATTCTAATGTTTTTAAAGCACCGTTTTAAAGGTGACATACTGTTCTCTGTTATCTACATAGTAGGTTTGTGGCTTAGCCAAGTTCAAAACCTCTCCAGAAACAGTTTGATGCTCAGTTTTTACTTCATAAAATAGCGCTAAAATCAAAAGGTCCTTATTGACCATATTTGGAAAAGTCGTGAATAATAATGAGCTATGTGCCTGCTCTCTCACTCTCACACATACAAACACAGCATGATGTGGAAATAAACGTACAAAATAATCATAATTGATTTGTCAAAAATATTTTACAAACAGAGCAGATGCCCTAATTTTTTTACTTCACTGGCTAAAAGATGAATTAAATGGAAATAAAAATATAAACTAAATAAAATTATATATAATTATATAAATATAAACAGATAACATTTAATTTATTGCTATTCTTTTACTCTAGGAAAATGACAGAAAGAGCTGAGTGATACTGAGTCTACTGAATCTACTATACCAAATACAAATCTGTCTGTTGTCTCATTATAAACATGAACGGCAAATTTCACAATAAACATTAAAAGGTAACTTATGTCTATTCAGGGTGGCACTGAATCAATTTATGGTCTGTATATTCCGGATTTTACCTTCTGACAAGCTATAAAACAATGAAATGTAATGTGTTTTTATATAGCACATTTATTGTGTATGGCTATATACCCAAAGCTCTTCACAATCCTGAGCAGAGTGTCCCCACACCACCACCAGTGTGCAGCATCTACTTGGATGATGCGACTGCAGCCACAGGACAATTGCGTCAATGCACTCACCACACAGAGACAGTGTGGAGAGACAGTTAAAGAGCCAATTAAGTTGATGGGGATTATTGGGAGGCCATGATGGTTAAGGGCCAGGAGAGAATTTGTCCAGTACACCTGGGTTACACCCGTACTCTTTACGAGAAATATCATGGGACTTATAATGACCACAATAAGTCAAATAATGGCTTATAGAGTTTTGGTTTAGCAATGCATAGAAAACAATCTGGTGTGGCTCACTTTGGCTTTATTCAGAGGGAATTTGCTGCTTCTCTTGTTTTCAAAACAAGAGTCTCATGCAGCGGATGCCCTTCCAGTTGCTACCCAGTACTGGGAATCATCCATATATTCTTACATTCACACACTGGCCAATTTTAGTTTATTTAATTTACCTGCATGTATGTGGGCTGTGGGGGAAGCCGGAGCACCTGGAGCAAACCCATGCAAACATAGGAAGAACATGCAAATTCCACACAGAAATGCCAGCTGAGACTCAAACCAGCAACCTTTTTGCTGTAAGGTGACAGTGCTAATCACTGAGCCTCCATGCCATCCCACATACAAATACATTAAAGTTTTGATTTAAAAGTTTATTCCGAGACTACAATACATACTTTTTCCATAAGTTAGAAATCAGTTGCCTAACATGCAGGGCTTTACATTAACACCCGCCAAATCCGGGTAGATTTCAGATCTGGCATGTTAGACAGACACCTCCACTAGCCACTTTGGCTGGTTGGAAATCTGCTACAAAGTGTAGTTTTCTTAAAAGCAGGGTTCGACAATTAGCATGGCAGTAATATTCATGCAAATGTGATCTTAGAAACTAAAAGTAGCACGACTGACAAAAATAACTATGTTCGCGACAGCAAAAGATAAACCGCAAAAAAAGGGGTAAATACAGAGTGAGAGGATGATCACTCGCGCGCATACGTGATGTGATGTGATGTGATGCACGTGACTGTTAAAAAGCGTGCACGCTCCTATTTACTTGAAAAAGACTTGACAAAGAGTGATGATCATTCACCCACAGACAGTCCTGCTGCTTTCAAGAACTCAAGTTAAAAAAAAAATACATATTTTGTAAGCAGCAGCGGTCACTGCTTTCATTTTAATTATTCTTTGAACAGATTATTAAAAGGCCAATATTAACTGTTTGCACATGAACATCCTTTCATTATCAAACACGGTATGTTTCACCTGCTTTCTTTCGCTTACAGTTATTTTTGTTAATATCGTTTAATTATATATTTTTTATAATAACATTGCTTTAATGGGAGATTACTACCCGTTTATGTGTAGTTAACTGGTGATTTGGGACTTTTAGCCAGGACAGATTACTGGGCATATTTTAGATTTATGACAATAATTGTTTTTTAAATGTAATGTTTTTTTAAAGAAAAGTTTTGTTGAATTAAAGTGCACCTATTTGCTAAACATTACCTAAACGCTACATTTTTCTTGTTTTGATACATTAAAAAAATAGTTGCTTACAAATCATTATTTGTGTGGTCAGAGATAAATATGGTAAATCCTAAATTTTGAGCCCTGAAAAGTCATCTGAAAAAAACTCATTGCATTGCGACAACCTATTTGCTCATGCACACTAAGCAAGCTAATAAACAATACACACAAGAAGTTAAATGAATGAGAAAGCATGTGGACATAACACAACTGCTGTTTCTCAATTCCAAGAATGCAGAGAACAGACTTGCGTTCTTGTGAAGACTGGTCTTGCCAGGTGTCCTCGGAAGAACGAACTCAGGAGACCGCGAGGACAGAGAACGCGTCCTTTGAGAAATGGGATGCTGCGTTCTTCCTGATGGTCACGTGACCTTCACGTGTTTTAAATGGAAATTATTTAAATATAACAGCACTCATACAGCGATTTATTGTTTTCCCCCTCTTCAAAATATATACTTTGCATAAAAACATTATAAATATACTCTGCACAATATAAATAAAACAAATTTTAATATGAATTTCAGCAAACAAACACCCTTAATGTGTTTATTCCTTTATTAATATATTCATGTTAATGTTTACTTTCACCGTTTCATTTAGGAAACTCCTGAGGTAAATAAGTCATATCTCTGAACTTTAATAATCAATTTAAATAAAATGCTGCGCTTCCCACCTCCAGCCGCAATGACTTCTGGGACTTCCAGAGCGAGTTCGGTGCTAAGTCTGCATCAGTGCTTCCTCGATATCAAGATCACATCCGGGAAGTTTCACGCGTCCTCCGTACTTGCGGTCTTGAGTATTGGAACTGAACTTAGGCAGCTGATGATGATGTTGCACGAGGACGCTAGACCGCTGAAGAACGCATATTGAGAAACAGCCACCATCTAGATCAGGGGTGCTCAGTCCTGTACCTGGAGATCTACCTTCCTGCAGATTTCAGTTTGTGCCCATATCAAACACACCTGCCTGTAATTATCACGTGGTGTTTAGGTCCTAATTAATTGGTTCAGGTGTGTTTGATATGGGTAGCAACTGAAATCTGCAGGAAGGTAGATCTCCAGGAACAGGATTGAGCACCCCTGATCTAAATCAAGTTATTTTAGCATGTCAAAGTCAAATGTATGCATAAAAAATATATTCTCCCAACAAGAAAAGTGTGGATAGTGAACATGGCGAGTGGCTAGTAATGTTGGAAATCTACTAGCCAAAGTGGCTGGTAATCAAAAAAGTTAATGTCAAGCCCTGCTAACATGTAATGCATATACATGGCCAGTGATTTTGCATCAATATCTGATCCGATTAACTGTATGCGTTTGTTTGTGTGCAGCAACACTATGGCCGGATCCTCCGTCAGTTTCGCACCATGTACACAGTTGGATATTCTCTATCTCTCGGAGCGCTGGTGCTGGCGCTAAGCATCCTGGTGGCCTTCAGGTAACAAAAAACGTGCTTTGCATCAGTTTTTGGATTTATGCTAGTGTTCAGGCTTCTCTGTGTGAACAGCGGAATGCTTTCTGACTGTTTATTCATTGCACTTTGATCCTGCAGAAAGCTGCACTGCATGAGAAACAACATCCACATGAACCTGTTTGCCTCCTTCATCCTGCGCGCCTCTTCTATTCTCATCAAAGACGCCTTGTCGGAAAGACCTGATACCTTCCCTGTTGGCCAGGACATCACCACTGAACTGGAGGTGGAGTGGCTGGTTAAAAACGAGGTCCAATAACACGCTGTCATTCTTTATGATGTATTACTAACATATAGGCCTATATGTAGAATTCAGAAAATCGTGTTAGTAGTGGCCATTCAATGAGCTGCAGCATTGTGAATGTTCTCACATTCATACTTCTGTTGGTCATTAACATGATATACTCAAAGTGAATTTGTTTTTTGATCTAAGCAAAAAAGAAGTTGGAAATACATTCGCTGTAATGTATTAATATTTTGCTTATCCAGATGATGTCCACACTGCTGAGAGGAATGCTTATATACCTGTATGTAATTAAGTTCTGCACTCTCAATGACTGTTTTAGTATGCTCCAAATTTTAGTATGTAAAATGTTTCAGCATACTAAAAAGGTTTCAGTATGTTTTGTTTTTAATGCAAGTGAGACAAATGTGGTGATAATTGACAAGAGAAAGCACCAATAACAGTCCAAACACCATACTAATCAAGCAATACAACTGTTTATTGCTGGTACACGTAGCTGATATCAGTCATCACAATAATAGACAATAATCAAATCATGTTCGTGAACAATATTAATCGAAATACAACAAAATTACGTAAAAGGCTTATAATGCGAAATAAAGATGAGTAATAAAAGGATTACATGAATAAAAGAGAGGTAATGAAACGCCAAACAATTTGATATAAATATATATAACCTCAGAGATGTGCTATCATTTTCCTCTTCAAAGACTTGGGAGCCCGTTGCAGTCACATTGGAAAACCAACACGTGTGTCTGAGAATGCCGGGCGATGTGCTATTATCCCAAGGATAAGCTTCCAATATTTCAACAAGAACCCCTCACCTTTAAAGTCAAAATCTGGGTGCTGAAAGGTCAAAGCCAAAAGGTCGGTCTGTTAGGTAAGAGAAGCTGTGGTCACACTGGACTTTTCTCCCCATAGACTTCAATTCACACGCACACGACAGACTGGAAACGCAAGTTTCGCAGATCGCAGCATTGGAAAGTTCAAGCTTGGTGAACTCTGTCCTGCGAAATTGCATCACTTGACTGCGTGAGATCAATCAAGGACCTCTCTATACAGAAATTTTAAATATGGAGCAATCCCTTGCTTTTTTAAATATCTAATCATCTTGTTTAATTCCGCCACTTTTCACAGCGCCGTACGACAGCATTTCGCAAGCTCAAACTTTAGTGTGACCTCAGCTAGAGAAATGTGAGTTGATCAGGCCCATCATCTCTCTCAGCTTTTCTCTCTCAGGTTAACTAGGCAGGTTATTGTATAATGATGGTTTGTTCTGTAGACTATCGAAAAAGATATAGCTTAAAGGGTCTAATAATTTTGCCCTTAAAATGGTGTTTTAAAAATGTATAACTGCTTTTATTCTAGCCAAAATAAAACAAATAAGACTTTATCCAGAAGAAAAAAACATTATCAGAGTTACTGTGAAAATGTCCTTGCTCTGTTAAGCATCATTTGGGAAATATTTTAAAAAGAAAAAACTATTTAAAGGGGGGCTAATAATTCTGACGTCAACTGTAAATAACTCATACTATTGCTTTTAGTCTTCATGAATTATTTCCTACAATAATGTGCTCTTCTTTTGTAAATATCTGCCAATATTTTTTTAAATGCATGTTAGTACAGATATTGAGGTGACAAGTTAAAATGTACCTCAAGGCTTTAAGTTAACATGAAACATGTGAATGCATGCGTTTTCCAGACAGCGGTGGGCTGCAGAGTTGCGGTAGTGATGATGCAGTACAGCATATTGGCGAACAGCTACTGGCTGCTGGTGGAGGGCATTTACCTGCACAGCCTTCTGGTTGTTACTGTCCTGACCGAGAGAAACTACCTGAGCATCTACCTGAGCATCGGCTGGGGTGAGAAGTTCAGCGCTTTTACCTCTTGAACTCATTAACCGAGATCTAGCATGTCCAAACAGAGCCTGGCAGATGGTTTATGCCTCGTGTAACATGCTCTCTCCCTCTTTTTCCCTCAGGTGCCCCTCTGATATTTGTCTTGCCCTGGGTGATCGTGAAGTACTTGTACGAGAATGAAGAGTAAGTTCTGGATCTTTGTGAGATGAGTGTTTGTGTCAAGCATGTCAGTACATTTAGCTATCATCCAAAGCGACTTACAAATATGGATAAAGAAGCACTTGAAATCACAGGAGAGCAGCAATATATACAAAGTATAACAAGTCAATTTTTTATTATAGTTATTCTTTATTTTTATTAATTAATATGAATTAATTTATTTTATTTGGTATTAGTGTTATTAATGTTTGTAAGAAAGTGTGTGGTGCATATGGAGATGAAAGGAAAATAAAAAAATAGGTAAGTGTTGAAGTAGTTATGTCTAAATTTACTAAATTTAAATGTTAAAAAAGTAGAATGTTTCGCAAATGAAACACTTTTTTTCTTTACATGTGTTTATGAAAATAAAATTTTCACTTTTTTGGAAGCTTGTGCAAACTACCAAGGATTTTTATTCACAGATGCAAAAAAAAAAAAAAAAAAATTAACCGGGCAAATCCTTTTAGCAATTTATTTTTCTCTTTTTGGCTCAGTCCCTTTTTTAATCAGGGATCTCCACAGTGAAATGAACCATCAACTTATCCAGCATATTTTTTTATGCAGCGGATGCCCTTCCAGCTGCAACCCATCACTGGGAAACATCCACACAATTTTATTCAAACACATATACTACAGACAATTTAGCTTTCTGTGTGGAGTTTGCATGTTCTCCCTGCCTTCACGTCGGTTTCCTCCGGGTGCTCCGGTTTCCCCCACAGTCCAAAGACATGCGGTACAGGTGAATTGGGTAGGCTAAATTGTCCGTAGTGTATGAGTGTATGAGAGTGTGTGTGTGTGTGTGTGTGTGTGGATGTTTCCCAGAGATGGGTTGCGCCTGGAAGGGCATCCGCTGCGTAAAAACTTGCTGGATAAGTTGGCGGTTGGCGGTTCATTCTGCTGTGGCGACCTCGGATTAATAAAGGGACTAAGCTGACAAGAAAATGAATGAATGAATGAAAAATTTATTTTGTCAGTGTGTCAAAACAGTTAGCACAACATGAGGTCAAATTTTTTTATTGTACTAAACTTTCAGATTCAATGTGCAATAAACTCAAACTCTCAAACCAACTTAGTTATGCATATGGTCATCTTTGAGCATGCAGCATGTCAAACCTTGAAGCAGATGAGCTACAACAGCAGAAGACACACCAGTGTCAGTCACAAAAAAAGCAACCTGAGGATGTCTGGTCTGATGAGTCTTGGCTTTTGCTGCAACATCAGGATAGTTTCTGAATTAGATTCAAAATTAGGTATTAACAACATGAAATAATGGATTTTTCTTGTCTTGTATCAGTGGTTCTGGCTGCTGTTGGTGTAAAAGACATTTTCTCAGCCTACTTTGGTCTCCTTAGTACGAACTGATCATTGTTTTTACAGCACAGTCTACCTGAGTATTGTTGATGACCATATGTATGCTTTTATTCAATTAAATTTTCAATTCATCTTTATTTTTATAGCACTTTAGCAATGAAGATTGGGTCAAAGCAACCTCACATAGAAGTTATAGTAAACTGAAACTGCATCAGTTCAGTTTTCAGAGTTGAAGTTCAGTTTAGTTCTGTTCAGTTCAGTGTGGTTTAATTTTTACTGCTGAAAGTCCAAACACTGAAAAGCAAATCCATTGATGCACAGCTCCACAAGTCCCAAACCAAGCAAGCCAGTGGCGAGGAACAAACTTCACCAATTGACGAAAGTGAAGGAAAAACGCTTGTGAGAAAACCTCTTTATGACCACAATAAACTCACACAGCTTTTTGGTGAAGGGATTTATCCAATGAATATGTTTCCTTCCTAGTTTATTCTTTCTTTAGTTTGTATTCAGTCTCAAATGAATGCATGATGTTTGTATGCACTTTCTTTTTTAAAATTCACAGCTTGGTGTTTCCATCCAGCGTTTTCTTATGTAATATCCAAAAATGTGTGTATAAATACGTGAATGGAAACATAGCTACTGGCACTGATGAAAGCCAGCACTCATGAAACAGTCAGTGTGTTTTTGCTGGTCGGAGATTTGGCAGACAACAGTACTCTGTCACTGTTGCGTTTGTTTTATAACAAATCAAATGCATAAATTGTGAACACAAAGCTACCTTTTCTCCAGATACCGTGTCAAAAGCTCTGAAGCTAAGCAGATATTCAGCTACTCTATGATAGATGAGTATTGAGCATTTATATGTAACTGCGACGTCCACTTCAGATTTGATTTTAGCTTGAAGAAGCCAACACATCACACTCTTTAAAATAAATAAAAAATACAGTGTGTTGTAAAATCTGTAAATCATTCACCCAGCTATACTTATGGTTGGAAGGCTTCTCTAGATAAATTATTGTAATGACCCTTTGGGAGTGCTAGGGTTACATATTTAATAGTATATATTTCATTCATGTTTTACGACCTGACTGCAGAACGTAATTCCCTTGTGCTGATATACATCACAAGTTGCACTCTCATAAATAAATTCTATGACCCTTGTAAAATGTTCCCTCCCTGGCTACTTCATTAGGTGTTGCTTGCTAGTATACTTTTGCTTTCGAAGCAAATTAAACAAGGTGCTGAAAACATTCCATAGTTTTAGTCCATGATAACTTGAGATTATTATAGTAACAAAACAAAGTGTTAGCAGACTTGTCAGCTGCATGTCCATAATGTGAATTTCCTGTTCCAGCACATCAGATATGTTGACCTTGTAGGTCATTTGAGTAAAGTGAACTTGTGGTCATGTTCAAGAAAATAGTTTGAGATGAGATTTTTGACATGACATGTTATCCTGCTGGAGTTCACTGTGGCATAAAGGTATGGTCGTGCTTATTATACTCAGCACTATATTGTTAAATATCACAATATCACTCCCGTTATTGCACTAAAAGCTTCCTGAAACATTATTAAAAAGTCAGGGTAGATGCATGCTTTTATACGTTTTATAGCAAATTCTGATACTAATATCTGGTTAAATAATATACCTATAGTCAGATAGTAAACTGTTGTTCGTAACTAATATGTCCACTTAAAGTATTGTCCTTATTCTAAAATGCAGAAGTGCGCTTGTTTTTGTGATTGTTTTAGAACTTCAGTTGCCTATGGGAGAAATGACTAGGAATAATAAACAGTAGAATATGGTCAATCAATTTGCTCTACAAACAAGTGTAGCCATGACTATATAGACAAAGCAGAATAAAATGATAATAAAATATCAGTTTGCAACATCAAGCAAGCGTAACTAGCTGTTTTTTCTTTTACTTAAAAATGAATAGAAGTGAATAAGACCAGAAGTCTTGAGCCAAAGAGATTCAAATGGCTGCACCCGCTCGTACGCAAAAAATAAGGTCAAAAGAGTCCTCTTCACTACACTAGCACTCAAGGACCCACACAAACCACCAAGATAGCAGCCCCTGCTGGCCTTACTAGCACCTCTTGCAGCAGCAACCTAGTTTCACAGCCCTGCTTAGCTTCAGTGAGCAACCATGTGGAAGCTGTAGAGAGATATAGCTGGTGTGTGGTGTGAGCAGGTGTAACTAATAAAGTGTCCATGGCTTTATTTGACTGTGTCATGCTCTGCTAAAGTTGGGGACAGGTTCATGCTCTCCCACACTCATCACCCATCCATCTGACTGAATTTATCTGTCTAGAGCAGATAATAGAATTGCTCTTTCTTCTTGATAAGCTGAGCGTTGTCTCCATTCCCATCAGAAAGCTGTCATCTGTCATGGGCATGTGATGCTATTGCCACATCACTGAATTTTTTCTACACTGTTACTTCAAATACTAAGATTATCCAGCATTTTCAGAATGCAGATATGTTTTATATGCTCTTACTTTCTTAGTCCCATGTGCAATATGCTACAGAACATCTGCACTCTTCAGTGCACTTGATTTGACCCCCCCGTTTCTAGTGGCAAATGAACCGGAAGTTATATCAGCCCCAGTGTTCATCATCTTGTTCGTGATGCATTATTAAACCAAACTGCTAAGACAAACATGCTTGCAAAAACTGAAATTTCTATACTAAAACCAAGCATGTGACACACATACTGAAAAATGAAGCCAATATATGATCATCACCCCCTGGTGGCTGGCTGCAGTATAGGTCATAAACCTGACCTCTTTATGTAAAAGACACTGACTTGAGCCAAGCTAAAATGTATAATAGCATGTCAATAATTTAACTAAAGATTCATTTTAGGTTATTCTGATCATGCTGATGTATATTTAAATGTATGTTTTCTTTATGTTTGCCTTTATTTAAAAGTAAAAGTAACATAACAAATTAACTTAGTATTGGTTTTTGTTGTTGTTGTTTATGTTGTTTTAAGTATATATATATATATATATATATATATATATATATATATATATATATATATATATATATATATATATATATATATATATATATGTGTGTATGTATGTATGTATATATGTGTGTGTGTGTGTGTGTGTGTATATATCGTTATGGAAATGCATACATATTACATATATTACACATATATTACACATACAATTTTCTCTTGTATTACACCTAATACGGCTGAACAATATATCGTTTTTGATATCGCACTGTGTGTATCCGCAATAGTCACATCATAGGATTAAATTATTCACAATATACAATCATTTATACAAAAATGACCAAGTTATTTTATGTTTGATTGTTAATATTTTTATATTTAAATACTGTTAGGCTAGATAATCACACCGCACTATTTACCAGACCCCCTAGTTTTTCGCTATACCGCAGTCACTGAATCCAACACAAAAACAACAAAAAGTCGAGATTTTTTTGCGATCCTGCAAAATTCTTGATTTAAACGCAAAATAATTGCTAAAAAATAAAATTATAATCTCATAGATTCCAAACCATATAATCAAAATATATTTATTTCAGTTTGCAGGTGATTGTTTTACATGACTTATAGCACTGTATACACAGCGCGCGTTATTTATTTAAGTGTCTCTCGAAAAATGCCTTCACAATCAGGGGCAGGGTG